GATATTTGTTACTCAATCACGCCAAAACGGCTGGACAGATCTGGATGACATTTGGCACAGGCATAGGATACACTCCGAAATAGGACATAGGCTTCTTTCTAACAACATACCACGCGGGCGAAGCCGCGAGCGGAAGCTAGTCTACAATAAGATGAATAGTTTTAATTCCGTTTGTTGGGACTACGAATTGAATACGAGTTGTATGTTAGCGAGAAGGATGTTCTACCAGTCTTAAGATGGGATCCGTTTTAAAACATATGATTATGATAGGATACTTGTCTTGTAGGTATACCTTAAAATTATTGAGAACTTAGGTATTCATTAAGCTTGCTAGAGCTTAGGTACAAGAACTAGGTGCCATTGAAGGTTACAGATATGACAACAATATGCACCTATAGGTAGGTAGGTACATATATACTCTACGCATCTGTCAGCACAGACGCGACGCTCTGAAGTCTATTCATCATAATCAAGACAACATCTGTTCCAGATCAATCTTTGTTTACAATATTGAACAGTTGCAGCCATAATTAATTGCAGTATAACTATAAAACTATTGTTTTCATATGGTCCGGTAAGCTTATAGGTTTAATTCTAGATCTATCCTTTCCTATATAAAAGGTATTGTTACTCATTCGGTTACTTCAAACTATTTATTATCTACTTGTATTATTTATTCAAATTTAAACCTAGTGATGGTAGATTTTAATACAAGTATAAGTTCTGTATGTTAGTTTAGATTACGGGTGATAGTCTGTCTACCTATCGAATTTATTAATTAAGAATTGACTGCACGGTTGGCACAGTGACTCGACAAGTCGCGGTTTCGATGCCCGTACCAAGGTAATAATTTTTACTGTGCCCGTACGGAACAAAACTCTTTAACATTGTTATTAAGTCTTTGGCGTACCAATCGTCGTAATGCGAAACACAATAGGTACGTGAACGCCACAATTCGCTTGGGGTTTGATAAATTAAACTTTCAACTTAAGAAGCGTATAAATGATTGGAATTTAATTCTTCATGTTCTTACATCAACGTACGTCATACAAAGAAGAGTCTAAATAGGTTAATAGTTGAAGCTACAGTGAGCCTAATAGTCTCAGTCGTAAAGTTGATTATTGCATAAAAAAGGCGGTCGGTACTTACCTGTCTGCTTAACTTAATGGATCCCTCGTTGCTACTCTTATCTAACCATTCAAAGTAGTGGAGTAAGCTTTTTAACTTGTTCCTTTGCGACTTTCTGGAAGGAACGAGAATGTATTAATCAAAGTTTCATTCACGTGTTATTGATTTGTACTAGTTCCTCTAATTGTTGGGTCAATGACTGCTTATCAATATCAATTTGTATTGGCTTTTATAGTGTAGTATGGAGGCTGATCTAAAATAGAAGTGGCTATCTACGTAGACAGATACCTAGTATCAATACTTGAATTTTTTTTGGTCATACATATCAAGCCCTTTTTTATAATCTGGTAGTCGGTACCTACCTATCAATATATTTTATTCTATTCATCATATTATCAATCATATTATCTCCCAATTATAATTATTTCATAAACCAGTATCAGTGAAGTTATGAGAGTAAGAAACTGCTTTTGCCTCTCGCCAACATTTTCAGTGCAGTTTGTTTAGGCCCCCTTGAAGCAGTAAACGAGACTTTAACGTTATGTTTATAAGGTTAATATTATCTTAGCTCGCAACATACCTGTGTAAATTCTTAAAAAAATGTGTAAAGTTGAAGTCTTGCAAGGTGGGGTGTGTCTTGAGCGTCCGCTTAGGGTTCGTGGAGAAGAAGGCGTGTGCCACCAGCGACGATACGAAGTTGTACTCTAGTTCCGTTACATCACCTAAAATGGTAAAAGTTAAACATACTACAAGTAATAAAAATATGTTAACATAATACTTATTTAAGTAGGTTTGAGGCTTAGATACTACTTATAGGGTTTCAGTGTCCGATTTCTTTTTTTACGAGATGGGTACAGCATCAGAGCAGACGGATGAACTGATGGTAAGCAATCAGCGTCGCTCATGGACAACCGCAACGGAGGAGTTACGAGTGCGTTGCCGACCTGCGAGTGCGTTGCCGACCTTGTCAGACTCGTACTGATCAAAAACCATCTCCCTTTAATACGCTTGCCCCGCAACCCCGGCTACATCATCATATTTCCTACCTAAATACCTTTTTACAAGTAACCTACCTACACGATAAGCTTAAATAAGGTAGCTATCTAACATATATATACATTGGCGTAGGCAATTCTTGTTAGAACAAAAATCAATTCGGTCTATTTATAAGTACCTTAATAAACCTTAGCAGAACCGAATCCCTTATAAGATTAAAATCTGATCGCAAACTCAGTCTTAGAACAAAAGAGAGACGATTTTAATTTTAACTGGAATGAACCCACGCGGCCCTGAGTTCAAATTATCCGATAAATACTTCAATGCGGCATTACCTACCTAGGCACCTAGTTAGGGATTAGGTACTAAAGCAGATTACGTTTACGTAACTTTGAGCAATAAAGCTTAAAGCAAATCTGCCTTTGTTTTATTCTAGAAAAGAGGTTTCGTTTTAGTATGGACCTACATTTAATGCCAAGTATAGATACAGGCAGTTTATCTATATCTACTATATATATTAAGTAATATTATAAAGTTGTAGAGTTTTCTTGTTTGAACGCGCTTATCTCCGGAACGAATGGTTCGAATTGAAACAATTATTTTTGGGTTTGCTAGTCCATTTATCGAGGAAGGCTCTCCAAACTAATCCAAACTATCTAAACTAATATTATAAATGCGAAAGTAACTCTGTCTGTCTGTCTTTTCTTTACGCCTAAACTACTGAACCGATTCCTGTGATAATTTGTACAGTCGTAGTTTGGAACTCGAGAAAGGATATAGGATAGTTTTTCTACCAAAATTTCCGCAGGAAGTCTCTATTCCACGTGAACGAAGTCGCGTTATAAAAATCACGCTACGATATGTAGGAGCCGAGCAGCGGGTGAAACCGCGGGACAGTAGCTAGTAATATAATACTAGCGGCCCGCCCCTGCTTCGCACGAGTCCTACTGTCTCGCTAACAACGAAAGGGTCACTTTTTCACAACTTTTCCTTCTAGTTTTCGAATATTTTCTTTTATAAGAACCTTTTTCTGACAATAATAAAAACAAAAAAAAAAAGATTTGGCAAAAATGTTCCAGGCGTTGTTGAGTTACGCACTTACTAACACATTTTGCGTTTCAATATTATTTATATACTAACATATCTTACATATTAAAGTATCGCCTTAGTTAATTGAAACGCTTATTTTTATTTTCATATAAGTAGTTATGTCTTATGAATAAATGTACAAGCTTCCTTTAAGCCTGATAAAATTGCAGGGTATTATATAACTGAGACATCTAGGCAGTTTTAATAAAAAAGCTATATTAAACGGAGCCTTAGAACTATACAAGACTACTGCACTTATAATTATAAGGACCTGCAGACTCTACTTAGTATAACTAATAATAATAGAGAAGGTATTACAGTAATATCGTATTCTACCACTACACTAGCTACTCCCGCGCGGTTTCACCCGCTGCTCTCTTCCTTCATTTCGTAGCACGATGCTTCCCCGATAAATGGATTGCCAAATACAAAAAGAACTGTTCAATTCGAACCAGTAGTTTCGGAGATTAGCGCGTTCAAACAAACAAACTCTACCTACAGCTTTATTATATTAAAAATATAATATAAGTATTGATAATATAAAAACAAAGTCTTTTCTCGCTGTCCCTGTCTAAGAACGCTTAAATCTTGAAAATTATGTGACTAATTTTGAAGCGGGTTTTTAACAAATATAATGATGATTCCAGAGGAAGGTTTAGGTGTATAAGTAATTAAGGTTGGCGGTCGAAGGCGAGTTGAATAAATACAGTTACACTAATTAGATGCTTAACACTAATCTATGTAAGATCTACACCCACACGAAAACTTAGGGAGTTCCGGACAACAATTAACTACAAAGAACGATGAACAAATCCCACCTAAATGGCGTTGCCTTAGAGGATTAAGTGCCCAGTCGTCCATGAACTTTAAAAGGTTTCTTAATTCTTAAACTCTTGATCACATCAAAGTCACTTATTAATAATGGTCCTACCTATTAGTAGCACAAAGGCTTCTTAATAAATGTAAATGATTCCAAATTCTTACGTACTTTGTTGCTGTAAGCTGAACATCAGTCCTTTAGGCGGTCGCCAGCGCTTGAGATGCAGCGCCTTGTTCACCATAATCCGAATAGTATTATCGAGAAAGTGCCTCCTCTCCTCCTCTGTCATTTCCTCCTCGAGAAACACCTCTAACCCTTTCATCAGCTCCGGATCTTTGATATCGTCATCCGGGTCTATGCCAATGCTGTTAATAATAATAAGAAAATTGATTTAGTAGGTTTATCATGGCTTAGCGTCCAAAATACATGAAAAAAAAATTCAAAAACGATAAGTTGGTATTCTGCAGTGTCTAGGTAATTGATATTCATAACAACTTGTTTTTATATTGATCATTAGTATTTTGTTTTACTTACTTGCACATGTCATGAATTTTCAGCATGCTGGCTGTAAGTTTTGCCGGCGAAGACGCCAGCAGCAGATGCTTCAAGTGCCGCTGTACCGACGTCCACCAGGGAAGATCACAAGGTAACATTACAAGCGCCATACTGAAATAGCACAAATTTAGTAATGTCTCGAAAATAATATTATTATAAGAAAAACTTCTAATTTATTAGTAATATTATTGAATTTAATTTTCTTAACTTATAAACATTCAAATTCCCGCTAAGCGGAAGGTGGCTAAATAATATTGCGTTCATGTTAGCAAATTTTTATCATAATAAATGTGTAACATTTCAATAAAGAACCACCGTTATAGGAATTTATCATATATTCTTAGAATTAAATAATCCGCAAAACCATATCAGTTGGCAACAAAATCAATAGGCAAACGTTGGACAATTATAGCTCGTTCTATAGGTACTTAGATACTATGCGAACGCTCCCGTTACTATTTGACGTTTGACATTTGAAGTTTGACTGCGCGGTTTACAGTGGTTCTGAATACAGTGTTTTGGTATTTTATATATTTTTATTTCATTTTACAATTATTTTACAATTGCAATGATCACATAAATTATACAAGCTATAAGGGATTCAAGTGTACTATTATTAAGTATAGTTTCATACATCAAATCAGTGTAAATATATTACGAAACAAACCTAATTGTTACGTGTTTAGCGATAAATAATATTATCATCGACTGCAGAGAGCCGAATAAGTTTTAATCAATAAAAACCGCAGAATCGAAACGAGGTTATAACTGTGCGATTGAATACGGTCGTATGTACAGTACGGCTGTATGATAAACTCGAGAGATACGGTGCGCACATAGCGACTACATCAAAGTACAAAGGTCAGTAACTATGAGTGGTAAATTGTTAAAAATTCTAATTCTTGGTGCGCCAGCTTCAGGCAAGGGCACAATATCGTCCCGGATAGTGAAGAAGTATGCTGTGGCACATGTGTCCAGTGGCGACAAGCTGAGGGACCATATTGAAAAACAAACTGACCTAGGTAAAGAAGTTAAAAAGTACTTGAATGAAGGGAAACTTGTACCTGACGATGTCATGATCAAATTTATGATCACAGAATTAAAAAAAGTTGAAGACAAACCATGGCTGCTGGATGGATTTCCAAGGACTGTGGGACAAGCTGATGCTTTGTGGAAGGTACAACCAGTTGATGTTGTAGTTAACTTAGTAGTGCCTTTTGAGGTAATCATAGACAGAGTGAAGAACCGCTGGGTGCACTTGCCCTCAGGCCGAGTTTATAACATTGGCTTCAACACTCCTAAAGTGGAAGGTAAGGATGATGAGACAGGTGAGGACTTGGTTCAGAGACCTGATGACAAGCCTGAAGCTGTACGCAAGCGGCTGGAGATCTATGAAAGTGTGACAAGGCCAGTCATAGAGTTCTACAAAGCAAAAGGTATACTAAAAGAGTTTGAAGGTCGCACTTCAGATGAAATTTGGCCAAAAGTAACAGCTTATTTAGATCCTATTTTTAAAAAGTAAGCCTGTATATTTATTTATTATAGATCTAGGCAGCACACTAGATATAGATTTGCAGAAATGAATTGTACTGGTGCTAGGAATAATAGTATTAAGAGTTATCAGCCTATGACTATATTTTATAGATTTTTTTTATAATTGTTATATATATAATATATTATTTTCAATGCAGAATCAATACATAAGTTGACTTGTTGTATAACTTCATTTATCAGCAGCTTGTATAGATAACATATATTTAACTGTAGATACAAAATATTTTGTATACTTATTTTTAAATGTATGATCGGAACATATCTTTTTAAATACTATGGCTATTTAAAGTCAGGCTGAATATGATTGTGCAATGTATACAAAAATTGTAGAAAAAAGACAAGTATAGACATAAAAATATATGTATGTTTGTACATATTATATGTAGATTGTATAGAACATTGGTTACTTCCTAGTCTTCCATGTTGATATGTACTTAGTTAGTAGTAGCATAGATATTGGTTATATTTTAGAATGATTAGTGCCTTAACAAAGGCTCAGAGTACCTACATAAGTAATGTAAACTTTAATCAAGTTCCTCATTTTCTATTCACATAATCAAATCGCCTACAAGAGCTCAAATGATCATAATTATAATTTATGAAATAAAATTATTTTCTTACTTTAAAAATACACAAACACATTATATTTAGTTAAGTAGTTTTGTTAAATTTTACACTTGTTTGTTGAGTTTTATATTATTTAATCGATTAATAAATGTTACTTATTTACATTCGCGTGTTTTAATGCGACATTTTTAATCTTAATACTTAGGCCATTACTTAAACTTAACCAAATATGTGTTTAAGCTGGTGTACTGACTGATAAACAGCAAAAGATTGTAGTGAACTAGTTAAAGAAACACCTAAGTATGCACATTATTTTCCAGCTGTTATCTAGGTACCACGTAACATGCTGACTACATTGCCTGTAGTAAACCGATTGTTTGTTTACGTTAATCTACGTCAGTGTGATTCGACTCGTCTGCAATACTCTAGAAGATATACCATGTTACGAAGACATACACTTAGTTCCCCATTCGACAATAACAAAAAGATGAGAAAGAAATCTATGAAAATTGCTGTTGCTATGGCATAGCAGATAAGTCGTCAATTTACATACAAGGACAAAAATCAGACATGAAAATATCTTCAGCAATAAATTCGAATATCATACAGATACGGCATAGCATGACAAACGCAACAAATAAAACCAAACTTAGATTTTATCGGGAACTTATTAATGCTATCCACTTCACTACAATATTCAGACAGAAACCAGAAATATTGTTCAGTAATGGGATATATTTAGGTACCTACCTTATAACGAATGCGTTGCAGTCGAGGCACAATAATATTTCGTTAACACTATAATAACACCATCAGTCACTGTCGCCTCGCGACTACCGGCTTCTTTTTACGCACTTTTCTCATTATCTACAAGGGAACCGTCCACTGGTATTCTTTAGCATGTAGAATATCTTATTGCTTTTCTATAAGACAGAAATAGTGTAGGGAGAAACGCGGGCCGGCTGCGGGCAGACACGAGCGCGCAAACCCCGACTATTTTTAGCTGCTTTCGTGCATCGCCGCTGAAATTAGATTGTAAATAAAAAGTTTGGGTTAACACAAGTCGAAGGCCTCATTACTCGTTCTTGTAGGTCATCTTTAAACAAATAGGTACCTTAAGGGTTTCTGTTAATGAGTAATTAAAACTTTACACGTTCTTGTAACTTTATTTCCTGAAGCGCTTTCAGGAAAGTTAGGTAGCCTCAATAATACGCTTCATGGCCACTATAAGTAGGTTATACGCTTATTTATAGTATTTTGCGATTTTACTTTGTCACGAAATGATGAGTGCAAATTTCATACAGTATGTAGGTAAACAAAGAATCTCAACTAATCTTACAGAAACGTACCCAATTTCGGCCGCTCTTACTGCAGGCAGTGAACTAGTTACTTGTTTAACTATCTCAAGGAGTAATAAATCCTAGAACCCAATTTGTTTTCAGATATTGCCAAAACAATCTAAGCGCGAACCTGCTTCACTTGAAACTTAAGTAACTTTTCACTCACGGTACCAAATAAGAACTGATGTTTCACTGGATGTTATAATGAAATTAATATTTGACGCTGTTATACTGATATCAAAGACCGATTCCTCAGCTTTTAGGTTAAACGATCGGTGTAAATAGAGGAGCGAGGAACAAAGTGTACGAGCCGATCGACGTGCCAGGCTGTACTGACGCCGACGGGCCGACTTTCACTGGGGGGTGACTACCCTTGCCCTGCCGGCTGTCGCACCCTCCACCCTCGGCAGTGACGTCACTCGGGCGCGTCACGACCTACGACGCCGTACGACGCCGCCACCCGATGCTCGATACCCCGCTCCCTAATAGCATGCCTCGTGTAATGTCGCGGCTGCTCCCGAAACGTTACGTAAAATGAAATATGAAAGTACCTAGAGCCTGCGTCAGCACACTACTTCATTTTCATACGGTTAATGTTTAGCGTGCAAAAATTAAACTGCTGACTGAGAACCTTGTCACCGTCGCGTACGTGGGTATTTGCTTTCAATGGTTAAGTTAGGTAGCTGTAGTTATAAAATGAAACAAATTTTTCAAACTCGTGCTTCAATTTATTTCTAAAACAATCTGTTTTTTATCAAGCTTATTTGAAGAATTTGCGATTAAAGCTCGTTAAAAATTATAACAATTTAGACACTGCCACTTAATATTAATAGAGCCTTACTTCTCCCTATTCTTCTTCCATAAAATATTATCTCGATTTCAGAAAAAATCTTAACAGGCTACGTAAATACCTACCTAGCTACCTTATAAAATATGGATATTATTTAGTAAAATAAAAAAAAAATAGCATTAACATTAAAAAAAAGTATTTTGTAACGAACTGGTACTTTGTAAGGAATTTAGTGAATTTGTTTGTAGTGGATGCCAATCTGAATTCCTGAAATTTATGCTGTTTCTTGGCTCTTTGTTATGAATATCAAGAATGCCGAGGTAACTAGGTACTTACCTATACAATAAAAATCTAAACCCCAGGATTATAATACTTACTATATGCGGTACTTAGTAGTTAGGTATATGTATATACCTAATAAAATAGTAATAGTTGGTACTATTTACTCACGTGCTACAAATGTGGGAAATGCACCTATCTACATATTAACGTCAAATATTTCATACGTAGGTATTTTTATATCTGTTGGTGAGATTTATACGAGTCATATCAATTTGTTTACCATCGTATACTTTGCAGGTGTACATGACGTCGTTTGCATCTCGAATAAAATAACTGACACATTATTTCATGCGTGTGGGATCTTCCATAAGTTGAATATTTCGGTAATTATTGCAAAAGTAGTAAGACATATTGTTTGTTTCTAGATCTTGAAATAAAGCAACATACCTAATAAAGGTTTTGTTATGAAAGTATTTTAATGTAATTAAATAGTTAGGTAGGTAAGTATCTAACAGTATTTAGAAACAATACGATTACTGTTTTACTGTGGTACAGTTTTCACATATAGTTGCTATGCTTACGTGAGTTTGGCAACAGATTACAATCATACAATAAGTGTTACCGGCTGGATTGTCCGTAGCCGACTAGCTTCCAGGACTTGCAATGCAAAGCCTCAGTGACCTTTTCGTCTATTGCGCATGCGTATTTTCCCTATCTCTCTGTCCCTTTCTCATTTTTCAAACACAGATGTCTCGGTGTATTTAAATCTCTCCTGTCTTCTGACTGCCTGGTAAAGTAGCCGCCCGTGGAAAATTGTTGCCGCCCTACACAGCCTACGTTGGGCGGGTTAGGGCGGAGCGGCAAACCGCCTTTAATAGCTTGTAGGTGGTACACTTTTAAGAATTTGTCGTTACTAATAAGTAAGTTTAAAAAAAGTTATTTGAATTTAGAAATTTGTTGATTATCATTACTACATTGTTTTAAATATTGAAAGTTGAGTTGATCAGACATTTATATTCAAATACAAATCTTGGCACGATAGAACGTTATTAAAAGCATAGATAGATAGCAACTGAATAATAAAAGTACCTACGTACGAATTGAGAGCATTAAAAGGTTCATTAAAATATCACTTACACTGGTCACTTTATTTTAAGAAATACATTTAGTATTGTTATCAAAGCCGCGCGTGATTCTGAAAGAAGCCTTCTTAATGCTATAAAGTCCTTCAAATAGAATGGTACCTTTTGTTATTATGAAACCCTAGTAGTTTCTCCACGTGACTTCGAATCAGTGCCGCCCCCTGGTTCAGATGGTGGGCGGAGGTTTTCTTGGAAGTTCCACAGATTTTATAACTTCATAACACTTTTGGAAGTCAGAAATAAAATACGAGGAAGTCTGCTTTTAAAATTGTCATCGCTGTATTTGAGACTGGTGTTTACTTTTGTTTTACTTGTAATTTTATTTTTTAAACGCTTTTTGTGACGTCACTCGCATTAGTAGTTACTTACTTAGTTTATAAGTATTATAAAATTGGCACATCTTACTAAGTAAGTACCTATACAGGGAGTAGACTTCATTACAAAAATGCGTTCATTTGTAACATGCATGTATATACTTATTTGTGGTGGTCGAAGGTAACGTTGCATGAATTATGGTAGAAACCTGGTGATTAGATTAGAGTGATACTATTCACACCTTCTTATTGGGAGAAGAGGTCTTAACTCTGCAGGGGGTACTTAAAACTGATATGCTACATATAAAAATACTGGCTTTATTATTGACTTCGATTGAACTTTTACCCAAAATATCTATAATTATTATTTAAGTGTGACTTGAATTATGCTGTAATAGTCATGTCTAGAAGGTACCTACACAAATATAATTCTAAAATACGCCTATAATTCTAAATGCCTCCACATTGTTAGGCCTCCCGCTAGGTGGACCGACGACATCGTCAGAGTCGCGGGGAGCCTGGGTGCCGGTGGCAACTTGGTGGTAACTTGTCTTTCGACGTGGAGCTAGCCCAATGCCCCTAAGGAGCATTTGTCTAGCGGAATACGTCTCCCGACTGATGGTGATGATGATGAAATAGTTACGTAAAATTATATAAAAGTTTTATGCATTTAGGTAC